AGTGTTCCTTGTCGAACAGGACAAGTTTTTTAGTCGAAGGAGCAGTAGCGTTGTCTGTCGCACTTCGGGAATGACCATAAGCCGGTGATCTGCTAAGCGCAACATTTTCTTTGTTGAAATCACTTCTGTTTTGTCGTTCAGGACACACATCAGAGGTTGAATTGTCGTTTAATGTATTAAGCTTATTCTGGCTTGCAAAAGGGACGTCTTCCAGAGAACTAATGGGCTCGTTGTCTGATGCATCCGATCTTTCTATTAGAGGAGGCATACTTTCGGTTGAGGTTGACTGTGCTTTTAACGACTCAAGGCGCGGCCCTCCAAGTAATTTAGTTAGATCAGCATTTTCAAGGGATTTATAAATTTCATTGAAAGAACTTGACGCAGAAGTTGACGTTTTCTTATGTTGCTTTATCACTCCATCTGATGCATGATGACAGAGTAGGACATCATCTGGCTGTTGACGATCATTTTCCAGTGTTACGTCCGGGGAAGCAATGTTGTGTTCATTGTAAGTTGCTTCATTGTCCTTGTCCAGTAATGGTTGGTGGTTCTTTGTAATCTCTGGACAGTCACCATTGTGGTCAAGTGATGCTAAGCAGCTCGGGTTTGCAGATGAAGTGTCATTATTTCGACCTTTGCGCGCAATTGTAGTGGTGATATTTAAATGTATGTTACTAACTTCAGTAGCTTGCCCAGGTTGTATAATAACTTTATCACAATTATTGTCGATATTTTCGTTGGAACAAGCAGACGGAATGCGTTGACTCTGAGATTTGGAATCTTGAATATGAACTTTATTTATAACCGTGACACCACTTGCACTTTTATGGGGCCTAGCTTGATTTGTGGCGTTGTTATTTGTTGTATTGATATGGGAATTGTTTGCTGAATTCGGCCTATTAGTTCTAGGAGGCCTATATATTTGTCTAGGGGGACGTATTGTCCGCCTACCCCTAACTGGTCGTCGTCTGTATTCGGACACAAGACCTATAGGCCCATTTCCGAAGTTGAATATGCCGTCCGCATATGGGGGACGATACATAGTATCTTTATAAAGAAATAAAAAAAATATTATGAAAGACAAAATGTGTAGGCTTAAATCATTATTTTCGTTTTGTGGGACATGTGCGTGATAATGGCTAATAAATACCACGTTCTGATTGGTCATTTTTAAAGTTTGATACACATTCTGGAAAAGTCCATTGAACGTACTTATTATCCGGAAATGAAAGGCCACTCTATTAATAATCATACACATAGGGTACGTTTTGTATAATCAGTGTATCAAACAATACGGTACTTCAATTATTTCACATTTAAGGCATCTTTGTGCAATACATTATTCGAGGCGGGAATAAATAAAATAACTACGTAACTGTACTGCACTTACATAAACACATAACATAATATGGCCTACGCTACATCATAAATAATATTACATTAAAACAACAACAAAAATGAAGCATGAATAAAAAGGTAAGGATGTTAATAAAAAAAATCATAAATTATATTATAGCCTATAAAAAGAATACAAACAAGCAAGATGATACAATAATAAGATACAAGCAAGAATAACTTATAAGCCTTGCCTAATACTGGTTTATTTGGTTCAAGTATACCAATAAACTTACGTGAGAAATCTCGTGTCGGATGGTGATTTGCTTTATTTATTATATCTATTGATGCAATTATATCTTGCTAAACAAGTTGTATTTCCTCACTATCTGAATCAATCGCACCTTTGTTTACATCGAACAAAATGTAATTTAATGTTGCCAGGAAACACTTCCTTTTACACAGACCGCGTAACGCGCGCGTGAACTAACGCGCATCCTATTTTATTAATCACGCGCGCTGTTTTTTGCAAAGAGCATCTCGTTGGGAAGGGGAAGGGAGTTGGGTAACATTCTTGTACTGTTTTATGGTTGTACAAAAATAAGTTGATGGGTATACTGGAAAAGTTCATAATTCTAAGTTTGTTATAACTAAAAAACAAATATACAGCATCCATTTTTCTAATTAATTTTGTTCAATGCATGGTAAGTTAATTTCGTTTTTCGTTGTTTTAACATTTTTTTTTCATGATGTTAAAAAAAACCAAAAACTGGTGTTTGACTGGAAATAGTTTGTTGATGAAACATGTAGGCCTAATTAGTTTAGATCTTATCTGTTCATAATGGGTAAATCAATTTTTAATTCGTTATTAGAGCAACAGGAATTTCTGATGACGTTTTTATAAACAACAATCGCCGTCTGTTTGGAATATGCATGTGTCTTAATATAAATGGTAGATGTAGAGTGCGACCAGAGGGAACAGACCAGTTGTTGTATGGACCATGGTATAAGGTAGTGGTTCCTAGCCTTTTTGCATTCGCAGACTCATCGGAAATAGAAGGGGTCCCAATTTTACAGATAGAGGGTCAATACCTCCTCAGCCCTAACCATGCTGGTGCTGAGGTACGGTACGAAATTTATATGGCCGGAAATGGCACTGTCAGACTCAAAATTTGAATGTAATTTTCTTTTATCCCCCATTTAATTATTAAATATTATTATTATCAATATTGGTAAGGCAACAAAGTGGAATCATGAAAAATTGATCTAAAAATCAAGCAGACCCAAACATTTTTTGCGGACATCCTGCGGAGCTTTTGGACTAGGCGGACCCCAATAATTGTTTGCGGATCCCAGGTTGGTAACATACTGTCTCTTATACACATCTAGATGTGTATAAGAGACAGGTATAATAACTTTATGAGTCATGTGCACTATAGAACACTTATTTATTATCATTGCCTATTATTTTGCTAAAATCGTTCCTAATTATCGTAAAATGCTATAGTATGCATTGCATTTTTGTCAGCTCTTCTAACCGTTGATTTGTAATCTGTGGTACAAAATTTGTTGGAAATTATCAGCTACATTGATTAAAGATGCTCCGTTATGAACAATTTTATCTGTAGGCCTACAGATGGACATAGAAATGCTATTTCCTCAGGTCCCTACAACACCAAAATAAAAGAAAATATAGAAAAAATATTCACAAATTATGGGTTTCAGAAATCATATAATAAAGGCTCTCAAAATGCAACTTTGCCGGAGTGGTCGGGGATTCGCCCCAACCCCCACTCGATCTCCAAAGTCAATTTTTTTCATTAACCTCTTAAATCAGTAAAAACATTCCTAAATGCTATAGTTACAAGCTATGCATTGCATATTATTTGCTTGCTCTTCTAGCTCGCTTTTGATTTTTAATAATTGTGGTTCAAAATATGTAGGAAATTATCAGCTCCAATGATTATGAACAATTAAATGTTAGCCATAGGCCTACAGATGTAAAGGACATAGTCACCACTTTAGGTCCCTAACAACACCGAAATTAAAAAATAAAAAGACTAGAAATCCATTTATAAGGCCCTCAAAATGCTAACATGTCGAAGCTTCCGAGACTTCGCCCCAACCCCACGGGGGCCTAGGCTTCTCCCATCATAAGGTCCGCTTCGTTTGCAAAACGCACCTCCCCGTTGAAAATCCTACCTATGGGCTAGGGCTCATGCGCATTCATATTTCTATCAGAGTTTTCGCTTTAGAGAAATCGGTTGTAGTTCGAATCGTTTCTACTTTTTGCAAAGCGAAAAAATGCTAAAAGGGGTCGTGAAACACAGAGGCAGTATTGGTTGTTTTTTGTTTTTGAAAGATGTCTAGCGCACTCACAACCTACCACAAATCAAAGATCTTAAAAACTAAAGATATCCAGCTCACGAATTTTCTTGACGTAGGATAGTTTGGTAAAAATCATGAATTATGCATAATCATCCTTATAGAACATATTTTGTGCATGCGCCATTTGCAAGTCTGAGTCAGCCTCATTTTGTCGCGAAGGACCTGTGCTCGGTTTTGGTCATGGTTTTGGTAGAACAATACACGACGCACCATTCACTTTTACGGCCCTGGGATTCAGTCTTTGTATGGACCTTGTATTTCAACCAATGCAAGAATAAAACAAGTGATTGACAGTAGATTCTGGAGTTTAATTTTAAGTACGAATCACTACGATAGAACGCGATTTTAAATTTTTTTAAATCGTGCTCCATCGTAGCAAAAATCGTGAATGTGGGAAAGGGGCATACGGGTAGCGCTAACCGATCGGGTGTCCACACAGACGCGTGCTAACGGTTAGAGTTAATTTATCTCCCTATCCGGATAAGAAGGCTCCAGTGTAAACTTAACCTATATGAACGGTTTACAATGTGAAAAGTAAGCCTTGTTTACTGCAGTTGCTATCTATAGGCACATAGAAAAAAAATATTAGATTATCACTCTTTCTGAAAAAAAAAAATGATGAGGGACTGTTTTTGGAATGTATTTCCAGTCACAAAATTGCATTGTTTTGTTTATGCTGTTGAAATAAATGATGCGACAAAAAAAATATTTTTTTTTATTCTTGCATCAATATTTCCCAAATTTTTGAGGTGGGCGGGAGTGATAATCTAACAATTTTTTTCTATGTGCCCTATAGTTCAGAATACAGCCAAAGATTATATTATTCCATGTTTATTCTCTAGGTAAAAATTATTATCATAATTCTATTTATTATTTAATCATAATGGGCAAGTGGAGTGGCTGAGATGTAAAGCCTGTTTTTCACTAGACGAATTTATTCGCGCGAATCGAAAGCGTCGGTTCATGCGCATACGCGTTCACACCCCTATCAGAGTTTTTGCGAAGCGAAAAAATGCGCAACCAATCAGAGCTCAGGAAGCGAACCGACGCTTTGATTCGCGCGAATAAATTCGCCTAGTGGAAAACCGGCTTTAGGCTAACTATAGCCTTTAAGCCAGTTCTCCACTAGACGAATTTATTCGTGCGAATCGAAGGCGTCGGTTCGGTTCCTGAGTTCTGATTGCTTGCACACTTTTTTCGCTTCTCAAAAAGTAAAAACTTAAAAATATAGATTTCGCTGAAGCGAAAACGTCGATAAAAGTGTGAATGAGCATGCGCAAGAACCGACGCTTTCGACTCGCTCGAATAAATTTGCAAGTGGGAAAACAGGCTTAATATTATAAGGTGTTCCTGCTAGTTGCCCAAGTATGTGATAATCAATATAATGTATATATAAATTGGTTTCGCCTCTGATAATAATACCAATAATTCAAATATTTAACCCACTCTATTTAGCTTCTGAGCAACACATTAAAAGTTAAGGTCTTTGTACATTTCAAAAACACATTTTAATATAAATTCTTTTTCAAAACTACAACTTCAAACATTTTACAAAAAGTAGAATTTCTCTGAATGTAATCAAAACGAACTGGAAGACATTTTCAATCTCCATCCAGCGTAGCATTTTCCAGATGAAGATACTTTTCTTTAATTATTATAATCTTAGATAGCATGTGCATGTGTAATTTTTTGATGTATTTTATACCAGCCTGTTAGTGGTGATGATTCACTGTTTGTTTGGGTGAAAATATATGAAATGAACTGTAATTATATTATTACTATTCACCATTTATGAAAAATTATAAAGCATATACAAAATAATGTAACTACTAACAATAATACAGTAATTAAAAAACATTAAAATGAACAATAATATATAGTGTTCTAAAAAAACTGTTTTATAAATGGTCAAGAAGTGATATCATCATGGCCATATTTAGGCATGTCTTTGTCAAATAAAATTTAGTCTGGACAAAGATTTAAAGTAATGAGGCTACTAACAGAATAAACACTCATAAATATTTGGTTAATATCTATAAACGTATAAAAAAAATCCATGGCAAACAAATGCAGTGACGATGAATAACAAATAAGAAATGAGATTCACTGAAGCTTCTACTATTTTAATAAGTGCTTATATGAGTTCTTAAACCAAATAATGAATTATTTTAATGCTGTTATTATATTTATAAGCCCATATTTTATTCACCGATTGATGATTCTTGACTTCCTGCAGATGCTGAGTCTACATCCATTTGGTAACTGTAATTATACCGGAAGTTGTGTAGAGTGTCCTGGCCACGTTTCATGAAGTCGCTTATCGGTAACGGATCCTTATACCTTTTCTCACCATGGGCATGTGGGTTCACTGATCCTTTATAAACAGCATTACTGAACCGAAGCTGTTTACGAGTTGGTTGTTCATTAGTATCTTTGCTTCTTTCATCGTTTTTAGCTTCATTTCTTTCTTCCGTGTCTTCTACTTCAATGTCAAGCATAGCTTCAACTTTGTCCAGCTTTGGGTTTGATCTGAAAAAAATTAAATTATATTAATTATAATATAATTATATTAATAAAGTTAAGCTCTTATCAAATTTTATGTACCAAAAAAATGTGATATGCCCATATTTGGGTGTAAAATGACATCATATATGGGCACATCACACAAATTTGTCACATAAAATTTGATAGCATAAACAGAGCTTAAGAGTGGGTATCTTGGTGATAAATATAATGTCTTGATCTTATGTACATAATGCTGCAACAAGTAACCAGCATATCGGCAACATTAAGGTGGAGAGCTTCAACCGGAATTTATTATTACAATTTCTGACGTACTAACCTGCTGGACCTGTATATGATAATTGCACAGATAGCAAGAAATACCACCAGACAGCCAAGGGACACAGTAACAATCAGCAGGACGGTGTTACCTGCTAAAGGTGGAAAAAGAACTCAAATGAAACAAACGTTGAAATAACAAATACAAATATGAAATTATTATCATCAAAATTATCTTTCCAATTCTTAGTGTGATAAGATTTCCAAACTGCAGCCACACCCAGGTCTCCTCCGCTCTGAAGCCCTGTCCTATCAAATTTTAATGACATCACATCATGACCATATATAGGCACATCATGACTATATATAGGCACATCATGACTATATATGGGCACATCATGACTATATATGGGGGCACATCATGACTATATACGGGCATATAACTGTTTTTTCTTAAATGAAATTTGACAGTCTAGACAGGGCTTAAAAAATTCCTGGATTTCTAGTTAGCTGAGCTCAGTGAGATTTGTTTAATACTATAAATCGTGTTGGGGATCCTCTATGTATTACTAAAACATACCACTTGAAGTCTCATCATTTTCTTGGCACCGATCACCTCTGAAGTACACTGCACATCGACAGTACGGCTCACCATTACCCTCCTTCTCACACTCACCCCCATTCAGGCAATAGTCTCGGCAAATATCTGTTAAAAAAATAAACAAATGATTGTAATATTGTACAACAGGGCTCAAATTATGATCTGATGAACAGTAATTTACATATATCTTGTATGGTCCAATACACCCTGAATGTATCCAAATTAGGCAAGAAATAGATTGATCTTTCACACAAGGGCAAGTTTGAAAATTGCATTATTTTCAACAGGCCTATTTTTCATTTCGAGTACACAACACTAGTCCTTCCTCAGTGGCGATATATATATATATATATATATATATATATATGTACAATGTATAATATAAATGTATAATGTATGTAAATGTAAATATATATGTAATTAAAGAATATATAAGTACCATGGGCAAGAATTGTCATTAGTTTTTGTAAGTGATTTTTATATATTACATAATTTTTATATAAATAGAAATCTATATACCTATGCAGCCATCTTGTCCAATACCATTACCACGGTAACCAATAGGACACACACATGTGATGCCACTGCACGTTGCATTTGGATGGCATTGATCACAATTAGGGGCTGAAATCATAAACAAATAACCTAAATAAATATTATAGTAATGCATTCAAACAGTATTAAATACATTAAAACATATTCTTCTCAATCATAATATTTGCTTTTTACAGTGTCCAAATTCCGTACACAAGTCAAGGCATATGGAACTAGTAGTAATAATGCATAAATAGGAAAACTAGTTCCAAACCTCCTGTTTCTTAGGACTTTGGTCAATCACAAATGTACTGTATTGGTACAACAGACATACTGTTATGAGTGAATCAAAGGCAAATAATGCTTTCAAGTATGACGGTTCTTGTTCGCCAACCACGTTGAGCTGGGCAATTATTAAGAGTCAAACCTTGATTGCACAATTTAAGTGTAAGGTTACCCACTGTCAATTAAGTTTCAATTAAAGTTTCTAGACCAAGGATAATCCAAAAAACAAACTTTGTCACTTTTCTAAGTGGCATATCCCCTCACAAGACCACCATAGACCCAAAGCTAAAGTTGGACATTCACTGTGGCCGATGGTCGTCGTCGGCCGACATGATTCTGTAGAGAGCACAACATGCGCGCAATAGATTGGTTTAAATGACAATCCATACAAACATCTAATGACACTCAGCAAACAGAGTTGCGTCGCTCACATAGAGCGGAGTTGAATTCCATCAGCCGGCGGCCATACGATGAGTGAGTGCCCAGTTTTAGTCTCATTATCAGCCTTCGGAAGTGAAGTTGTTTCTGGTCGTGAGAAAAAATCCTGTTTTCGAGGCAGGAATCTGGGATTGGAAGGCAAGCATCTTCACCACCAAGCTACTCAACTCCACTCCAAGTCTGACAGATATTTTATGCAGGCTGACTTACAAATACAATCATCTTTGCTGACTGATCCCACTTGACTCGTCAAAAAACCATCTGGACAGTACAAGCATGCCCTCTGGTCTTGTTGAGGTTGGTATTCCCCGATTGGACATGGTTCACATCGGTTCTCTCTGTTCACTAGGTACTCTCCAAAATAACAATAGGCTGAAGAAAACACAGCAATGGCATTTTGTCAATTGATAGCATTTTAGCAATACAGGTTATTCAGGTAACCAGGTTCATGAAAGGGGGGGGGGGGTTCCTTAATATAGGTCATGTTTAACTCAGAAGTGTTTCTTAACAAAGTTATAATAAAATACTATTACATTGCAAACTGGTCAAAAATGGGGATGGGCATGGATTACTTAAATATTACTGTTATACAGTAGTTCATAATAATACTGTACGTAAAGTATAATACATACAATATTGAAATACATGCCATTGTGTGCATTTACATACTGGGAGTATCTATTATACTTTCTTATCTGAGATTAATCAGTGGCCCTTTCAATACTGTACTGATAATAATAATAATAATAATAATAATAATAATAATAATAATAATAATAATGATAATAATAATAATAATAATAACAATAATAATAATGATAATCATGATAATGACAATTTGTAGAAAAAAACAGGATTTGTGAAGATGATTTGAAGAATGTTAAACTTACCAAGTTTGCAATCATCAATAGATGTAGATCCTGTGTCAGAGGTCGTGAGTCTTAAGGGGCATGGTGTACATGACATTTGACCTTCAGGTTTGTAAGTACCAATAGCACATGGTTCACAGTCACCATTCAAACCCTGCTCTTGGCCAGCGCCTTCACAAGTTACTGAAATGCAAGTTTTATGATTTAATGGAATTCTATGGTAACAACTAACATTACCTTGATTATATCCATATCAACATTGTTTTCATTATCATTGTTAATATATTGTCACAAAATCCTAAAAATCTGTTAAGATTATCATCATAATAGTTTTCATTGTCATTACTATTTACACAGTCGCCAACACTTTCGCCATCAGTCGACATAATAATCATCATCCACATTATCATCATCCCCTTTATCATTATCCTCATTATCATCATCCCCTTTATCATCATCCACATTATCATCATCCCCTTTATCATTATCCTCATTATATCAACTTCATAATCAACATTCTCATTACCACAATCCACATTATTATCATCATAATCACTATATCCTCTTCATCATCACCAAACCATAATAATCCTTGTAATCAACATATAATTAATTATTGTGTATTCTGGAACCATCACCATCATCATTTTAACAATAGGAATCTCCAACAATAAAAATGTAACGATTGAGGAATTTTTTAGATACAATTACAAATGTAGAATACATCGTATGCACTCTTACCATTACAATAGCTTGGATGTGGAGCACCTAGCAGTTCAGTAGTAGTTCCAGAAGGACAGGTCATACACTCAAATGACCCCAACTGATCCTGGTAAAATCCAAGACCACACGGCTCGCACTCTTCACCGTTGAAAAACTCTCCCGCATCACACACATCTAAGAAAAGAAAATGTTTAGAATCCAAAATAAAATGAGCAATGTCATCTACATTCAAAATTATGTTGCTGATAATGATGACAATGATTAAGATAATGATGGTGAAAGTAAAGAGAGCATTGCTGATGAAAATATAGATGACAGTGAGTAAGAAGATAATGATGTTGAAAATTAGGACATTGAATTATAAAAAAATGAAGATGACAACGATAACAATGATTATGATTATTGGAATTATGATGTTGGTGCACAAAGCGTGAAGTATCATCCCGGTACCTTTGCACTGAGTGATGTTAACAGAGCCTAGGCCCTGTGTGGTCATTCCACTTGGACAGTCAGTGCAGGCAACTTGACCAGTGTCATTCTGGTATGTGCCTTGGGCACATTGCACACACTCATCTAAAGCAATGTCATGGTACTCCCCCTCTCCACAAACAACTAGAATAAAATCGTAAAATTGATTATTGAATAATAATAATAATAATAATTTTTTATAATTCATTCATTCATTTCACGTTCATTTACAAATTTCATATCCATACACAGAAAAATATATATAACAATACTGAATGATTATTTAATTAATAATACAATAATAATAATGAATATAATATAGCATTACTGAAAATTATTACAGTATAGAAGCATTAATCCATGGTCTGGAGTTTTAATTCCAAAGAGGAAAGAATTTTTATCCCCTCCAATGGTGTCACTATTAAAAATGTTGGCAAGGAACTCAAAAACATACACTTATTGGTCTTTTATCAAATGATGTTATTGTAAGACTTACCACACATATTTCCATTAAGCACAGACCCTGGATTACAAACCAATGTTGTTGTGACAACCAAATTACTGGTATCAACAGCACCCCCAGTGGCTGTAGTGAGGTTTCCTGCTGCCGCTTGCTCTACCAATACTTCATCAATGGAACGACCATCGGACGTGGTTGTAGTTCTGAAGGAAAGAAGACCATTTAGTTGGTGAAAAAGAATAGGGTATTGTTTGCTGGTGTACAGCCTAATTTAGCACTCAGAATGGGACTGCCTGCTGCCGTCTCAAGAGGCCAAGACAAAATTTGCTAGTTACTTCATAGTCAGTAAATTATAATGAACCTCACAGGACAAGTTATGTGGCCTAGTATCGGTAAGCATGGAACGCAGCTGACTACAGCTTCAACATCAGGCCATGTTCAAGACCTTCCTCATCCAGGGTTTGTTTGGTATTCTCGGAAAAAGATACCTGGCTCATACATGTACACTTTTTAAAACCCATTGCAACACACAAACTGTGAATCTTATTTTAAAGTTGAAAAGAGGTTAAAGGCTAAGAACCAACAACTGACAGGAAGTTTCCCAAGTTCAAAAAAGTGATGAGTTATAGACTAAAACCAATAATAGGCCTATATAAAGATAGGAAAGAAAATAGGTGCATACCCATTGGTGCTAATAGCAACAGTGACTGATGCAGTTTCACCCACAGCCTGTCGTTTACGTCTTCTCTCCAAGGTAACAGCGCATTCCACTACTACACCGGCTGCTCCAAAGTCACAGGTCGGAGCCCCGCATATGCCTAAGAACATGTTCAGTTCGTTCATGACACCTTCAAACTCTGTTATAAGGGTGCTAATTGTTTCGTTGTCGCACTGGTTGATAGTGTAATCCAAACTGAGGTCAATTGTAGCGCTCGGATTTTCGGTTTCTGTAGCGCAGTGGTGGAGGGAAGGGTTAAAAGATTATTAATTTAATTACTGTTGTTAAATTTAATTACAAACATTATATTCTGTCTCTTATACACATCTAGATGTGTATAAGAGACAGGTTATAAGGGTGCTAATTGTTTCGTTGTCGCACTGGTTGATAGTGTAATCCAAACTGAGGTCAATTGTAGCGCTCGGATTTTCGGTTTCTGTAGCGCAGTGGTGGAGGAAAGGGTTAAAAGATTATTAATTTAATTACTGTTGTTAAATTTAATTACAAACATTATATTATAAAAACAATATCATAATTTTCATTATTTATATTAATATATACTCCATAATGTATCAATTGTAGCACTCTGATTTTTGGTTTCTGTAGCGCAGGGGAAGAAAGGGCTAAACTGTTAAATTTAATTACAAATATTATAGTATAAAAACAATATCATAATTTTCATTATTTATATTAATATATACTGCTTATTGAATCTACTGGGGTTGTAGCTTGATGGTTAAGATGCTTGCCTTCTAATCCAAATGTCCTGGGTTCAAATCCTGTGACTGACAATACAGGATTTTTGCTCAAGACTAAAAAAAAAACATCTCCGACTTCCTAGGCAATGTAATGAGACTTAGTTTATATAGCATTCAATATTTAATTTATTCATATATATATGGGGCTTGCCATGACCAAAAAAAGAAAATTGACTATATAATATATTCATATTCTCCACATTATATGCTTTCAAATGATTAGTCATTTACTGAAATCAACTTATTATTGCTAAGGTTATGAGTAAAAGTATTATTGCTTCTCTGTACTGAGTATGCAATATTTCCACATTCTTATGTTTAGCATTTAGCGACAGTGCAATGGTTTTGGGATGGCTAGCCTCATATGATTAAAAAATAAAAAAATAAAAAAATACACATTTCTTACGTGCACAAGCTGGAAAAATAAAAGGTTCATTTGGTCTTCTAGTGTCCCATACACCTTCTTGAGCACAAACATAATAGGGGTTTGGTAAAGATGTGAACTCAAAGCCAGGGTTGCATGCAATACTACAGAATACACCCCACTGCCAATTTCCACAGGCACTTAAACCCTTCACAGGCGGGGCAGGTTTCATACAATTAAAAGCTACGGAAAAGAAAAAGATTTTTCTGGTACTTTTATGATAATATATTTATGAATATGAGTTATTACACTGAAGACAAAATGTACTGGAGAACAAGGAATAGTTGAAATGTTAAATCATTTAATTTTGATTTTTTGGGTTTGGTAATACTAAAGAGATATAAAATGTTAACTTACGTAGAACATAGAGTTTGAATTGATAAGTGGCGGAGTTGAGTGCAGCATCGTACGCCACATACACAATAAGATACTCCCCCCAAGCAAACACCTGTCCAACTCGATGTGATTGTGTGATATTTACAATCCCAATGTTATCTGTGAAAATTGGTTCAATCCATTCGCCAACAGATAAGCGACTTTCTTGATTCACAATGCGCGTGTCTCCCGTTTCGTATGTGATTACTGGTGGTATCTTGTCTGGAAAAAAAGAATTCATGATTTCCTAAATTATCTACATAGATATATAGTTACAATTTTCCAATATACCGTAAATGCTCAAATAGGCGCTTAATCGAAAGTATATATTACCTGTATGTAATGAATGAAACACTTCGAGAAACAAGGTTTTAAATACAATATATACAGTGTTAAAATGAATAAATAACAATGAAGAGACAAGCATTTCTTTATAAACGTTTATTTACGATGACTAGAACCTATCATAGGCCTACCGAACTACGGGAATATGTGAGACAGGTAACATGGGAACTGGCATGGAAAACGGCACACCAATATTTTTTTATAAGCGCCGCACTCGAACAAGCGCCGCTCCTGAATAAATGCAGCACCGAAGCCTCCAAAAATGTTATAAGGGCCACAGCACTTATTCAAGCATTTACAGTAACTATAAATGCCAGTATAATATCATATTAAATATACATATACAGTATATATCTATATATATATAACATTACATTATAATAAAACATGAAATCAATTTTAACGATATAAAAAAAAAAACAGTGATAATTTATAAACTCACCAATGAGTATATTACAGAGCGTTCCTTGATATCCTTCAGGACAAGATGACCCACCACAAACTGAGGGCACAATCTTTGACACATCACCATTTATGTCCACAGCCATAGTAACCCACTGAATAAGATTTCCCTGATCTTGGGCAGCAGAGCAGTTTGCTGATCGAGCTGCAACCTCTTCAGCGCTTAGAACATTACTAAATAGGTTGAGACGACTAACTTCACCGACAAAATCTGCTCCTGAAATTATCTCGCCATTGGTGGAAAAATCCTGACCGAGGACAATCCTCACGCTATAAATAATGACATCATTAAAACTTGACAGTTAAATTCTATGATTTCATGCAATAAATTAAATGATACTACAACCAAGTGTGTGTTGAGGAGCTTTCAAAGTATACTGATTCAGGGGTGGATTTAGGTGGGACTGGGCCAATTGTCATGCAAATTACAATTTTTTTTAAATGAAATCTTGAATATTCATGCAAATGAAAGTTCAGAGGGTAAACAGTATAAGCCTTAAGTTCCTATAATTTTAATTTTAACAATAACAGATAATCTACTTAGTTACAATCTTATGTCACATTCAACACAACTGACAAACTAACTTACAATGGCACAAGTGTTACACTGGAGCCAAAGTTTGGGACAGTACCAACAACTTCTCCATCTAAGTACATTATAAGCTGAGACAAACTGGACCAAGTGCAGGTTATATAATGCCAATAGCCGTCATTAATGTTGATATCGTTGAAAACCTCATTTACATCAAGAATCAACACATAAACATTCCTGAAAAAATATTATATATGAAAACTCTCTTAAAATATATATATTTATAGGATAAAAATATTAATATATAAAATTATCATAATACTACTACTATTTAAAATTGTGATAGTATAAGAAACATCAGCAAATGTATAAATGGTTGATTGTTATTTTTTCATTGTTGTACTTACCCATCATATCCTAAGAAACGCATTACAGCTCCCTCACTTCCAGGCTCTGCAAATCTTACCCAGAATTCCAATGTGAAGGAGGAGATGCCGAAGCTTACCGTTGGTGAATACGAAACTGATGAGTCACCACCAAAACTTAAGTCAAAATTGGGAGACTTGGCTGTTGAAACAAACAAGGAGGATCACCTCATCAAATTGATATTTTTTAAAAACAGATACACCTGTATTAACAATGAATGTTAACTTTAGACATGATATGCTACCAATAGACATGATATGTTAACATTAGACACATTCATATTTAGAATTTTTCATTACAAACATCAGACAAGTTTGGATAAAAAGTATTAACAAAAGATTTTAACATCAAACATATTCACTTAGACATGTCAATTACACACATTAAATTTAGACATGTTAACATTAAACACATTAACATTAGATACAAGACATATACAGGTTAACATTAGACATGTTTAGATACATAATTGCATTAGACACATTATACAAACCTTTTTCGCAGTAGTAGCCTTCATAAAGAATATCACATTGGCATGTGAATTCTGCGATGCCATCTAGGCATGTGCCACCGTTTTGACAATCCACTCCTTCACATTCATCTAAGTTTACGTCGCAGTGCAGTCCCGAGTAGCCCTGCGGGCAAGTACAGTTATAAGTGCCTGGGAAGTTGTAACAGGTTGCCCCATTTTGACAAGGGGATTCCAAACATTCGTCGACATCAATATCACACTGTGTTCCCTTCCAACCTAAAAAGCAAAATAAAAACTAGGTTTTACAGATGTTAGTAAAAATTAATACCACGAACAAATGGTGTCTTAGCACCATTCATATTGTATGAAAGTTAATGGCAGAGATAATGATAATTATCATTGCTATTTCAATGTTAGTTTGTGAGCAATACCCGGTGTTATTTGGTGATCGGATTCAACACTAGTCACTAAGTGCAAGCTCGGCAGTCTCTTAGTTACGGAACCAGGCTAGTTATCTTGAGGTTGTAGATTGGATTACCACCCGAATCACTTGCAAGTTCTTTTTCACAAGTATTTGAAAATGTACTGACTACTCGGTATGATAACAAAAGTCAGGTAGTGTAAAACATCACTGCTATCATACTATTTCAAAATTATGATGATCATAATGATTTATAATGGAGATGATGATACTATAATGATGTATAGAATTGCTGGTAGTTATACTTTTTATTTCATGAAGATCTGTTTACTGTGTCTCTTTGAATTAAAACCAAATCAGTACAATACTATTATAACACTGCATTTTTAACTTCTTATTACCAACCGATTGTGTTGTCATGTTGACTAATACAATTGTGAATACATTTATATACAAAAAAAAAAGTCAATATCATCCTCATTATTATTTATTACTATTTTTATAATACCTAATGTCTGGAGTCACATGATTTCCAGGTTTAATCATCATAGACTCATATTGCAGGTTTTGATATTTTACAACAACAAAAAAATAAAACACCCCAAAAAACTAGACATACCAATACTACAGAGACAAGTAAAACTATTGAAGCCATCAATGCATAGAGCATCATTTAGACAAGGTTCACCAACACAGTCGTCTACATCCTCGGTACAGTTGATACCACTCCATCCCGAAGGGCACCTGAAAAACAAAAGCAGAAATAATTTAAAACATGGGTTCAAATAGTTTCTTAAATTATTAATCTTTGAGTGCATGATACCTTGTTTATTTTCAATATTATTATTAAAATTTAAGAGAAACCGTAATAAATATAATTACATAAAAAGGGTAGACTTAAACAAAAAATAAACAATATTTTATGAGCAAATTAACATGTTGAAGATCTTATAACAAAATTTCTGCATCAACTTTGACAGCTATGACCTTTGTGCAAATTCTGTAACAACCGCGGTATCAATTAGGACGCCCTCTCTCAATTACAATTACTTTCTGTGTAAATGGATGCTTCTATTTTGTTACATGTAAAACTATGAGAGCGCTATCTTGTTATTATATGATCTTTGGTTGATATAAGTACAATTGTAGAGGACTGAAATTAATACAGTAAATTATATTGGTTGCTAGCATACTTACGAGCATCTGTATGTATTAACAAGCGTTGTGCAATTTCCATCGTTTTGGCATGGTTCCAAAAGACAAAGGTCAATCATTTCTTCACAACTTCCACCGTAGAACCCAGCAAGACATGTACACAAACGACTATTGACGAGGTCCAAGCATGTTCCATTATTTTGACAAGGGAATAACAAACATTCATCTACATCAATCTAAACAGAAAGTTGTGAAGAAAATAAAATAATATTAAGAGATGATTATAACCAAATGACAAACAAAATTGTATTAGGTAATAAATGTCTCATAATACATAAAAATTTAAAATCACTTTGTGAAACTCACATAGACATGAAATAATAATTTTATTATTGGCTGCAATATATACCAGTACAAGAGAAATATAAAGACATTTTTATGATTATTAACAGACATAGACTAGCATTCCTAAAACCAGTGAACAGACACTAAATATTAAACTGAGTAATTATCATTATAATGTGGTAGTATTGTATACTTTAGTAGATAGAAGCTGTAATGCTTTTACTCATAACTTTGGCAATAATAAATATATTCCTGTATTATCATGTTAAAGCTTATAATGTGGAAGATATAAATAAATTAAAAAGTAGATTTTCTTGTTTCGGTTACTGATGCTGGCTTTGGCATGAAAGGCCCCGTATATTATTGTTAGAAAATAATAACAAGAATAATAAAAACCAATAACTATAACATGTAAATATAATTTTTACTATGTTCCAACATTTATTTTGGTTTAAATATGTTGAGACTCAAGGTTCATACAGTACCTCACAATTTCTACCAGTAAAACCTGGATAACACGAGCACTCATAATCTTCCAGCTCTACCAACAGTGAGCAGTTGCCAGCATTTTCACACGGATCTAACAAACACGGACCATCTGGAATCTCACAAAACTCACCTAATGGATAAGGACACGACAGCTTTCATATTTGTTTCTCAGTAGAACAATAGTCAACGAGAAAAAAATTTTAGTATTGATCTTTTGATTATGTAAGGTGCTATAAAAAATACAACAATATTATATTATATAAAAGATATATTGTTAATCTGGAAAAAAGTCTCAAAAAGTCATTTATTTTTATTTATTTTTCATTGTTGAATGCCTTTTTAAAATCTTAAGACATTATTTCCATAAACAATAATCAAACAATTTCCACACAGTATCATACCTGTCCATCCAAAGATGCAATCGCATACAAAAGAATCTAATTGGTCAATACACATGCCCCTGTTATCACAACTGACACCTAGGCAGTCATCGATATCATGCTGGCAGCGAGAGCCCTCATAGCCATCGAGGCAGATGCAGGAGTAAGCGCTGATAAGGTCAGTACAGGTGGCGTTATTAAGGCAAGGAGACGATGCACATTCATCTGGAATTAGTATCAACATGTCAAATAATAGGCCTAGAAATTTAGAATGCTGGTGACAAAGTTGAAATACACAACAGAAATGGCAATGATAATTCAAACAAAATTATAATTTTTATTTTTAAAGTATAATCACAATACTATAGTCAGTATATCTAGGTACACTAGGTATTCACTAAACAGACTTGACAATTCAAGTGTACTCTTACCAATTTTAGTTTCGCAGTTAACTCCAGTAAAACCAACTGAGCAGACACACTCGTACCCATTGAGCCTATCGTAGCAAAAACCGTTAGAGCATGGAGAAGATGCACACTCATCCGCATTAACCTCACATTTCCCACCTTTAAGATGATTAAATATGTTACAAAAATTTTTTTTTTCATACTACAGTGAAGAAAGAAATTTGTGTTAACAGTATTTACATCACTGTTATGGGCTTTTGTTCTAGCGTGCGACTCTGATAACAACTTTATTTTAATGCGCTTTACAGGTCACTTTGTTCTTGCCACGATACCCTGAAAAGTTTTGTTTAGTTACGTAAGTAATTTATTTAGCTAGCATGGGTTAAAGACATGTATAGTTTTGCAGGAAACGCAACATTACACTTTAAATCTAATGTATTCATTAGAAATTGGTAGTCTTAAGTTATTAACTCAAGAGGTGTGAGGGCAGCACTATCACCCAGCGTGTGACAATTCTTTTGTATATTTGTGCTGCCCCTTATTTTGCATCCTTCTTAATTTGATCATACCACATAGTTTGTTATTTACAAGTTCTTGTGTGAACCTGTGGTTTGCCAGAAGCGAATCGCTATTAAGCGGCTCAGGTAAGGCAATATGCATAAACCACTATCAATCTTACCTAGCTATAAATCTATAAAATCACCATTAAACATACAATTATTAAAATATATATTTCTTTCATTTTTACAAATATCAATGTAAGATTTTCATAAAAAAAATTTTAATAAAAAAAGTTAGTTTAAAATATATTACAAAAACTTAAATACAGTTGGAATATTTTTACCATGACAGTACTACATTCAAATACCAGTACTTGTCAGATCACCGAAGAATCCTTGTGCCTAAATAATTTTTGGATGGGAGAATTGGGGAAGAGGCAAGTTGTAAACATGAGTAGTCCACACCCACCTCGAACCAAAGCCTTCAAATATGAAATTGGCGCTCATACTCGGAATAAAGAAAAAGCAATACCTACCTGTATAACCAGGTGGACATTCACAGGTGTAATTGGCCCCTTGGTCAACACATGTGCCCCCGTGCAGACAAGGCTGTGATGTACATTCATCTGTTTCATGCTCACAGTTGTCACCATAGTAACCAGGTAAACATTCACATAAGTAGGAATTGTCCAGGTTCAAACAGGTTGCTCCATTCATGCAAGGACTGCTGGCACACTTGTACGGGATTTCACAAGATGAACTGAAAGGGTGATAATAGTTGTAATTAAATGAATTCAAAAGAATTTCTATTTAGCACAGTAATTTTGTATGTTATTACTAGCTCATAATCTCACTTACCCCCGATAACTATCTCTACATTGGCAATATGCTACATGGTCGTTCACCTCACAATTACCACCATTGAGGCAAGTCACACCATCACAAGGGTCTGGATAACAGAAACAAAATGAAGAATAAACTACAAACAGTGCAAATTCATGAATGAAAGTATTATTATAATCTGGGAAAGTTAAATTTTCAGCTACGAATGTGAAAACTTTGGCTTACCATAGCATTCGGCGATGCTGGTGGATCCGACAGCGACCGTTGCAAGAGCATGAACACACTCGGTGCAATTTGATGACCCCATTGACTGCTGGTAGTAATGGACAGGACACGCTGTGCACGGCTTGTAACCAGTCGCAGAATAGTAGCCAGCTTCACAGGGCACTAGAATGGTTGAATGACAGTGGGTTAGAGAACTACCAATCAATGTAGTAATACAAAGAGTCTTAATGGCGATATGAAAGCAATACGTCTGGAGTGGAGGTGTGGATTTGTGGTTAGGGTACGCTACTAATTGCCCTGTCCCAACAAAAAAACATGTGACATGCCTAAATATGGTCATGATGACATCACATCATGACCATATATAGGCACATCATGACTTTATATGGGCATACAACAGTTTTTAATAAAGGAAATTTAGTAATTTTGACAGAGCTCAACAAACTTGGTTATAGAGTATTTGAGGGTCCTAAATAATTATTTCTCCTCTCTACTTGCCAAGCTCACAAAGACTTGATACAGAGCATTAAGAATCTCCCAGACAATTAGATTTGCTGGTATTTTATCGTCGTTAATAATTGCTAATAAAATATGCATCAATAATATAAGTTAGGAGATCTCAGAAGAACTTTAGCTTTGTTCATACTATCAAATTTTATGTGACAAAAAAATGTGATGCCCATATTTGGGTGTAAAATGGCATTATCATGCCCATTTATGGGCACATCATACAAGTTTGTCACATACAGTAAAATTTGATAGCATGGACAAATATTTAGTAATCAAAAGAAATGTCCAAATCATTTAATGTAGTTAAACCCTCTCTACTAATGATGGTGAACTATGGATGCTGAGCCTACATTACCTTGGCATGAGCTAGGACCAGTTGCTGGTGGGACAGAGCTGGCTCCTTCTGGGCAGAGGGTACACTCAGTGTTGCCATAGTCCTCAGCATAGTAGCCTTGCGGGCAGGCAGAACATGGTTGGTAGCCATCGTGTGAATAATAACCTGGGCTGCATTGAGCTATTAAGTAAAAAACAATAAATCAATCAACATAATATATGAATCTTATGAATCAATGTTTATCTTACCTGATATAGTCTAGATATAGAATGCTTAGTACACTCCCAAAAAAAACCTTGCAAGTGATGGTGGGAATCGAACCCACAACCTCCAGATAGCTGGAGGTTGCACTTGATGGCTAGTGATGAATCCGATGAATATATGAAACTACTTTATAGTTTTTAAGGGATGTATTTCAAATAGAATGGAAATAGAATATTGTCGATATAAATATGTACTTACGAATACATTCATCTTTGCTCTTGCGCTGTTTTTGCAGTGTGGTGTGGCCAACCGGACAAGACTTGCAGGTAGTTTGACCATATCTATCTTGATATGTTCCAATTGCGCAATTGGAACAGGTCCTATTTACCTCATAGGTACCAGGTGTACATTGTACTAACAACAAGTATAGAAATTACACAAATCAAAAAAAGAAATAATACATGTGGAACTGCAAGGTGTAGCTATAACTCCTGGACAAACATTTCCATTAATTTTTAAGTTTTTCTTCATAGAAAACAAGACTGTGAAAAGAATTTCAAGAGTTTTTCTTTGGTATACTTTTTTGTTCCTCCTTTTGTATGTTTCTGGTTCTTTTGGTGGTTTACTGCTTTCTGTATGATCTTCTCAACTGTTTTCTTTAAACTAAATTTTAAAATTATATTACAGTAGGGCTTTAAATTCTGATTGTTTATCTTTTGTAGCATCCACTCTATTTTTCTTTGTTTTGTGATTGTACCTTTACACATGTATGGATAAATCAATTCAAATAAAACATATCACAACTCACGGCAGAAATCATTTCTGTATGCGTATCCTGGGTCGCATTCAAGGATTGTGTCATCTAGTTCCGGTGGCGCATCAAGGGTCAAGTTGAGACACTGTGACCTGTGGTTGACATCGATGCTTGACCATGCCTCAAAATTTGTTGCTAGGTAGTAGTCTAGCACGTCTTGGCGACACTGTGTAATATCCTCAGATGTAACCACCCTGATATTTGAGCCCTTGTACCTCAGGCCTACTACAGCTCTGGCCTAGAAAGTTTAAACAAGTTTTATCCAATTAAAAACAATAATTTTTTTTATTGGAGAGGGGGAAATCATGGGTAACAAAAACATACTTACACTTGTAAAGTCCCCAATTACTGAGCTGTTCCCAACCTGTAATAAATATAATGTAAAGTATTAATTTCTCCAAACAGTCAGGCACTAATTAACATAAAAAATTTGTTTATATCTACATCACATCCAGTAATGACGTCATAACATACCTGATGGTATTGATACCTGGAGAGAGAAATTGTCACCGAGACACCGACAGAGACATTGGCAGCAATCCGTAAGCACACCTCTGAACTGGAGAACCCAGCTTCAAGAGACACCTGCACAGACAAGTGGAGCTCAGCTACATAATGAGACAAGCAGCCATCGTCCGCCGTGCCATTGGTGGTGTAGTTTGCTCTTATAATGTCCTCTTGAATAGGAGGCTCCTCAACTAAAAGTAAAAGAGGATATTTTTTGTGCATGTACAAAACTACTCTTATTAATTTACAGCTAACTCTGTTTTACTCCTACACTTTTGGAGTCTTTAGGAGGTCGGCTTTACCCACCAGAACCAGAACAACTTAATTCTTGGGTGCATGCCTTACAAAGTTAATTGATATAAAGGTGCCCCACGAAGAAAAACAAATTATATAAAGATAAAATTGAACAAATTTAACACATACATACAGTAAAATAAAACACATAATAATCAAGTGTATAAGATTATAAAAATACTGTAAATTGCTCAGTGAATTGCAGTAAACTAATCTGACCAAAAAGATATAGGTTGATAGTAATGTAACCAGCATTCTTTAGTTCCAACTATCCAACTAAAATCTAAAAAATATCAAATTAATAAATATAAATATAAATATATTTTGAAACTTAAGAGCACTTACTTGAGCATCCCGGGGTAAGATTGTCTGGTGTCCATCCATCTCCTTCTTGACAAAAGTATTGAATAAACGATGATGGAGGGTCATACACAAATTCATAATCATGTTCCAAACAAGCAATGTCACATCCAAAGCCTGCCCCCAGTGGGCCAATTGCAAAAGGTGCACAACTCTTGACACCATTCACTGGATCCCCTAAACTCCACTCAGCACAGTGCACAGAGACTGGTAATAATTTGTAAAAATAAAACGGAATATTACAACACTGTTAAAAAATCCTACCATGCTACTAAGCTCTGCTCTCTGGATATTGTTGCTAGAGGCTTGCAAACTGACAACCACTTGTGGAGAAACATGGCCCAGTATGGGATGTGAGCCATGTACATATTCCTGCCTCTGTCTATTGATAACATGATGGGTCACTTAAATTTAAGTAAATATTTTACATAAATTATTTTAACATAAAATTTAACTTATTTTAATATGTATATGTCACATGACTACATGTGACCACATGAAAGTAACTAAAATGGTTTAATTAAGAAATACATTTTTCCTCACCATTAACAAATACAACAAACTCGCATTTTGCAGTGTTGTTTGCAAAGTCTACAGCTGTAACTGAAACAGTCTGGTAGGACCCTAGTCTGACCTCTGTTCCATTGGCAGGTTCATAGGTGATGGAGCGAACAGCGTCATTGTCAGAGACTGGTACCAGTGGCCAATGGATTGGAATGGTGATGATTGGGATGAAATTTGCATCCACTACTGGGGACTCAATGACAATGATATCATGGCACTGAAGTACTGGTGCCTGCTTGTCTGGCGAGAGAAGGATACATGTACACTGAGCCACAAATTATAGGAATAATATCATTAAAAGAATGAAGACAAGATACCAAGATACTTCAGTGATAATGCATTGGGCTTCAGTACAAGAGGAATCACTCTTGGATTTTGTTAGTCTTGGGCTTTGAGTCTAAAAGTATTCTTTCCCTCTTTTTTTTTGAATTTTTCATTGAATATGTATAGTAGATAATTACTGTAATGAAACAGTACATGACTGCAGTACAATATTAGTCATACTGCTAGTTGAGAATATTATCAATTTTATTATTTTTTTTTTACAAATCCTTTATGCAGGTTTACTATCATTATACTTTTGACAAAATACTGTAATGACAAAATCCAAATACAATTGGCTATAATAATACACATTAGGAGTATTTCGGTGTGTATCCCACCAAGGATAACCCGAAGACTTATTTCCAGTGGTGTCCATCTGGTGGCGAATTGGGCAGTAGACCGAGAGACAATTAATCCCCTACTCTTTTCCGAAGAGTGTATTGCATACGGGGCCAACAGCTTAAACGTCTCATTCGAAAGACGGTGCGCTATCGTTAACTTGCATTTCAGCCCTCCAGCTGGAACACATGGGAAAAAGCGATGGTAATTGAACCAGAGACCTAAAGATTTCCATGGTTCAGCACACACACCATGGCTACCATATGCGCTATAAAGGTCATGAGCACTGCTTACCAACACAATAAGGTATGCTGCTATTCCAATCTGGTCTTTTGAACCAAATGGTCGTGGTTGATTCTATAGGGATTGATGTGAATTCCAGTACTTCAGTAAAGCTCTGTGTTTCATCTTCAGCAGTAGCATATTCTGTGATACTTTCTGTTGGTCTTCCTTTAGTGGCATAATCTCCAGAGGACCATTCAGTTGGTTCTTCTGTAAAATCTCTAGTAACATAATCTACAGTAATCTCATCAGTCTGTTTTTCTGTAGCACCTTCAGTAGCATAATCTCCAGAGGCCCATTCTGTCTGTTCCTCTGTGACACCTTCAGTTGCATAATCTCCAGAGAACCATTCTGTGAAAACTTCAGTTGCATAATCTCCAGAGGCCCATTCAGTCTGTTCCTCTGTAACTCCCTTAGTAGCATAATCTCCAGAGGCCCATTCTGTCTGTTCCTCTGTAACACCTTCAGTAGCATAATCTCCAGAGGCCCATTCAGTCTGTTCCTCTGTAACACCTTCAGTAGAATAATCTCCAGAGGCCCATTCAGTCTGTTCCTCTGTCTCTGTAACTCCTTTAGTAGCATAATCTCCAGAGGCCCATTCAGTCTGTTCCTTTGTGAAAACATCAGTAACATAATCTCCAGAGGCCCATTCAGTCTGTTCTTCTGTAACACCTTCAGTAGCATAATCTCCAGAGGCCCATTCAGTCTGTTCCTCTGTAACACCTTCAGTAGCATAATCTCCAGAGGCCCATTCAGTCTGTTCCTCTGTAACTCCTTCAGTAGCATGATCTCCAGAGGCCCATTCAGTCTGTTCCTCTGTGAAAACATCAGTAACATAATCTCCAGAGGCCCATTCAGTCTGTTCCTCTGTGAAAACTTCAGTAACATAATCTCCAGAGGCCCATTCAGTCTGTTCCTCTGTAAAAACGTCAGTAGCATAATGTCCAGTGACCTCACCAGTCTGTTCCTGTAAGATGAATTCAGTAACATAATCTCCAGACGCCCATTCAGTCTGTTCCTCTGTAACACCTTCAGTAGAATAATCTCCAGATGCCCATTCAGTCTGTTCCTCTGTAACACCTTTAGTAACATAATCTCCAGAGGCCCAGTCAGTCTGTTCCTCTGTAAAACCTTCAGTAGCATAATCTCCAGAGGCCCATTCAGTCTGTTCCTCTATGAAAACTTCAGTAACATAATCTCCAGAGGCCCATTCAGTCTGTTCCTCTGTAACACCTTCAGTAGAATAATCTCCAGAGGCCCATTCAGTCTGTTCCTCTGTGAAAACTTCAGTAGCATAATCTCCTGTGACCTCATTAGTCTGTTCCTGTATGATGAATTCAGTGGCATAATCTCCAGATGCTAATTCAGTCTGTTCCTCTGTGAAAACATCAGTAGCATAATCTTTAGTGATCTCATCAGTTTGTTCTTCTGTGACATCTTCAGTAGCATAATCTTGAGTGATCTCCTCAGTCAGTTCCTCTGTAACAAGCTCAGTAGCATAATCTCTAACTGTCCATTCATTCTGCTCCTCTGTGACACCTTCAGTAGCATAATCATCAGTGATCTCTTCAGTCAGTCCCTCTGTAACAAGTTCAGTAGCATAATATCGGGAGGCCCACTCAATCTGCTTCTCTGTGACAATTTCAGTAACATAATCTTCAGTGGCCTTTTCAGTCAGTTCCTCTACCATACCTCCTATTTAAAAAAATACAAATATTATTCTAACAATTAACAAATACTCTACTCTTTCATTGACTGTGTCTGTGGTTTCATAATTTTGTATCTCTCCTTTATTAGTTTTCACTTATTTTTTTGGATTGAAATAAAAAAGTGAATATGATAGGCCTATTTGTTAATTTTAATTAATATTTTAATTTTCTTACTGTCAGAAGCTGTGAGGTCACTTGATTCAGTGGTGTCATCACCAGCAGATTGCACGATGAATGTGGTCATTGGCAAGGTCCTGCTATGACTCAACTCAATTGTTGATACACGATAATTCTCTGTTGCCGATTCATAAAATGTGGTATCTGATGTCATGCTTTTCTCAGTGGGTTCAGCTTCCCTCCGGCGTCTGAAAGGGAATGCTGGTAAATAAAATAGCAAAATTAGAAAAACTTTTTTAAGAACATAGTAGCATAATGCTAATATAGTAAAATGATGCTATTTTAGCAAACCCTACCTTTACTGTTGGCCACACACTGCCTCCAAAAATATAGTTTTTTACATTACTGTACATGAAAATTGGGGTCGAGTGAAGTTGTCTTGGTTGTGAAAAAGCATTACAAATCCTTGCCAATCATTTGTAATCTTTGTTGCTCTAAAACCATATTTGGGGAGTTGTTTCGGTTTTGGATGGACTGAACCAAGGTCTTTGAGACTGGAAGTAGAGCACTTGGTCAATAAGTACTACACTTCCACTCTATTTATCTATCCGTGCATGTTGCAAAATAAATCAAATCGAATGCCGAATGCTAAAAGTACTCACTAATAGAGACCGGTGTTTCACAGTATTGACCTTGATAACTAAACCCGCAGGAGCAGAAAAAGTCATAATGATCATCAAGACACCTGCCACCATTCATGCAAGGGTTGGGGTCACATAAAGAAGCTGAGATGCCAAAGAAAAATCAAATAGCAATTAAAAACCATAAAAATCAAAACAAAAAAGTCAGATGAAAATTATTTAAATTTGTATACAAAATTCTTGAATTTGATGACAGAAATTTAAGGGTTTATATATAGAGACTTAAATAATTATACTATTTGCACACCTGCTTATTGTTGAACCTTTTTTTTTTCACTTCAATTTAAGAAAAATTGCTTAATATGTTGTTCAACTGATTTGTTTTACATTGAAGCATTGACAAAGCAGTTTGTAAGACACAGATATTCAAATATTTAAAACTGGGCAAAAAAGATGCTCAAAACAAAGGCTGGCTTTAATTTTAAGATAGCTAAGAACTTATTGGAATACACACATTAAGCAAATCATTTTTTGAATTGTCAAGTATTTATATTTTTTTTGGTAGTAATATATCATTAAGGTATTATTTATATTTGTAAATGGGGCTGTTTAGTATTTCATCATAACTAATACATGTTAATTAAAGACACCCACTGCACATGACAGCATTAGTGTTCAAATTACTAAAGAGTGTTATATTATTAGATAATAATATATTCGGTTTTTAAAATAGAAGAATTAATATATGTTTTAGATAAGATATGTTTGATATTTTAAAATTATTTAAACAAATTCTGAACTTTCTGCAGAGTATTAATCAATACATAATAACAATTAAAGTATTTTAGTATTATTAATATTATTATTTCCGTGCATACCACTAGTGGTAGGTATTGCATTTGCTGTCGATGGGTGGGCAGCAGTAGTACCATCTGGGTTAGATCTATTATCAGCAATTGGTTCATCAGTGGTAAATATGTTTGTTGTTGTCATCAGCATTCTTGCAACGGTAGTCAGGGCTCTTGGCGGTGTTGTCAGGAGTGAGGGTTCCTCAGTAGACACTATGTTAAAGATAATAATTACAAACATATATAGTTTCACAGTAACATAATTAAGAATTATCTTTGTAGAGACATTCTCAACCAGCAACGGTTCTTTTCAGAACTATCTATGTGGTGTACAGCAAGCATTAATATAAATTATTTTTGTGACATTAAATAATTACATATTTATATACATATTAATAAAAACAATAATAAACAGGTTACACTATTGCAATAAGCTTTTATAATCATTTTAGATATGAGACAAACTTACCTAAGGATGTCCACTCACACAAGTCTCCATAGAAACCTTCAGGACAGATGCAGATCAAATCCTCTTCATTTGAATAACCTATTCCATCATTATGACATGGCTCATTATCACATGGATCATCTTGGGGAAAGAAAATAAATTGTTTTTCATTATTTTTTTGACTGAAGAAGACCAAATATTGCAATTTGAAAAGGCTGTCTTAAATCACAGTCTTGAATGGGCGGGTGAACTGTTAGTACTAAAGTAAATATTTTGTCCTTCTATTTTTTTTTATAATTGAGAGCTTTATACAAATTTTGAATGTCATTTTTCAAGTTTATTGGCTAAATAAAGACATGATAGTATACTTTTATTCCAGTCATAAAAAATCAAATGGTGCTAAGACGCATTTAGGCAAAGCATTACTTTGATGGTTTAAAACACTTCTTTCTTACCTGGTTGACTGTCATCACAATTATGGCCACAGAACCCTGGTGGACAATAGCATATGTAAGTGCTGTTCATGTGTGTTCGACAAATACCGTCATTCAGACACGGATTCGGCATACAGGGATCAGAAGCTATAAATAAATAAATATCATTATATAATTTTTGTTAGAGGGTGTATTATTCTTCTTAAATCATTCTGTGATGGAAAATGATGGTAGAAAAAAGTGCAGCAGTGTGTATATATATATATATATCCCCCCTCATCTTCGATATTGCCAAGTCGTTATCTATAACCCCTCCTGGTAGACCTATTGTCTCTTTCCGTGGTACCCTCACTGAATTTTTGTCTGGATATATTGATTCTATTCTCAACCCCCTACTCTCCAATATCCCCAGCTATATTCAAGATACCACCCACTTCCTCAGAAAACTCGAATCTATTTCCACCCTCCCCCAAGATGCTATACCTGTCTCTTCCCCAGCCATATCCCCACCCAATGCATCCAATGCCTCCTCCATCTCCCCCTCCTCCACCACCACCTCCTCCTCCACCGCCTCCATCACCTTCTTCGCCAGTACAGGCACAGATGTCACCTTGGCCACTGCCCCCACCTCCTCCTCCTCCATCACCCTCACCCCAGCCAGTTCCTGGAGGACATTCTAGAAGAAATACAGTACATTAGAATATTATGAGTAATATTGTACAAGTAATGCAAAAGAATTCAATATTATGTTGATGATTATTTTACAACTCTGTTGTCAATTCTCTTGTTGATGTTTTATTGCAAAAAATTAAATAATAAATATATAATAAATAAATTATCTTTTAATTTCCAATGAAGATTAACATAATGTACTGGATCAATTATTTTTGTAAATTTTGTTTATCTTCCAATCCAGAATGGGTTAAATTTTTACAAGCACAGCAGTTAGTAAAAATGAACTACTCCCCATTCAGGCCTCATAAAAGAATTGATGTTAAGCAGAGGTAGAGATGCTCAAAAACAAAGTAAAAACATAGTTTATTAACCTCAAAAATAAAACAAAATACCTAAACAAAAATTTTATACCTTCACAATATCCTGGACTTCCACTCCATGTGCCGTTTTCAAGGCAGTATCTCACCAGAGGTCCATAGTAACCATATGAATTGTCACACTTGGCATACGCTTCACTTCCGTACGTAGTGAGGCCATATTTGTACGTCACACTGCCATGCTCCAGGGCCACTACCGGCCCACAATCAACAACTAAAACATTGAAAAGATGACATCAGTTAGGCTAAGTACAGTATTAATAAAGATAAGATTCAGGGCATTGAATTATGAGTTGTCATGATTGGCTGAAAGTACTTACTTGTACAAGTAGGTTCAAAATCCGACCAGTCATAATGATTGTTTCCTATGTCTTCACAGACACGAGTGCTTGGTCCTGTTAGTTGATAGCCTTCATAGCAGTTGTAGCCAACTTGTGAAAGGCAAGGGTAAGATTCCACAACAGGCTCATAGTAACCATTATGAACACTAGAGGGCGGCACACATTCAATAGCTGTAAAACAAAGAATAGTATCATGCACTTATATAACATGATAAAGTGGAGAGTTGTTAAATAAATGTTTAATAATTTATCAACATTTAGTACAACTTCGTTATTGAAATAATTTAATGAGTGTTATTATTTTCAATGTAATGTATGCTTTTTATGCACTTTTATGTGAGTTTTTTAAACCTTACCCTTACAAAAGAAAATGTTTGCATTAATAAATTATACCAAAATTAAACACTGTACCATGTTTAATAATTTATATAATAAATGGATAAAAAGAGAAATTGTCTAGTTGAGATACCTCTGCAACTTGGGAAATCAGCTCCAAAACCATCAGCACCGCACGTAAGAATGGGATCACCAATCAGCTCATAACAAGGGTCACAGCGGAACTCAACTGATTTTCCAACGGTTATACTAGTGTCAACAGCAACTTGAACACCACCAAGTACAATGGCGTCCATGTGGTTGTATGTAATGTCAGGAATAATAACTACACCATTTTCTATCTCTGTCGGTATCGGGCAAAAGTTGGCTAAAATTAAAGAATTTAAGAACAAAAATCGGTGTAAACAAAAAAACTATAATATGACAATGATGGTGATGATGATGATGATAATGATGTTGACTATGATGACAATGTTAATGATGATAATGATGATGATTATAATATTATAATGATAATGTTAATGATGAAAATAATTGTTGAAGTTAGTAATGCTAATGATAATGAAGACAATATTGATGATGATAACACAGTTTGCCCTCTAATTCCAGACCACCTTTGGGACCTAAAAACTTTGGGTGGTCTCGCGGTTCCGTCTCCACTTAGAGGGTTAGCTTTGTGTTAATAGATTGAAGATTGTTTTTTAGTTCTTTGAAAGGATGTACTTGAATTAAAGGGGTCTCACATATAAAGGGGTCTCAAATTGGAGGTGCACTGTAATCATAATAGCAAATAAGGTATGAAGAAGGTGCTGAAAAAGAGCAGTAACCAGTAAAAAATACATCTACTCACAAACACATGTTTTGCCGATGGTGTAACTGTCGTCACTGGAGTAACCGCTCTCACCTGCTGGCAGGTAATACCCGTTGGTTCCATTTGCGACGTACAGCTCATATCCAGCCAGACATGAGCAGTTATAGCTCCCAGCAAAATTATGACAAACCTGATCACAATCATTCAGGTCTTCATCTTCACATTCATCAATATCTTTTTAAAAAAAAGTCAGGAAGTGTAACGCACACAACAGAGTAATATGGCAGCCCTACATTTTTGTTTTATTTATTTATCTTGTGTATATTTTCACTTAGTTGAATTGAACAGCGAGCACTTAAGCAGAGACAACCCATAACCATAAATATTTGCCAGGAGCGACAAGCCTGCCTATGGTTCTACTGCAGTGAAATAAGTGTTTTGGATAATAATTATAGGCATAGAGTACACAATTAGCTCATGTGCATTAAGAAGAAGGTTGTAAATATTTCGAGACAAGTACTGTAGTTGGTTATCCAACCAGCCCCTGTGTTGAAAGAAGAGAGTAGCTGGCACGTTTTTACCAGGTAGCTCAGACATGCAGTGATCCTTAAGCCATGTCCAGGCTATCAAACTTTGTTTGACAAACACAGGTGACATGCCTAAATGATGATGACATCACATCATGAACACGTACAGGCACATCATGACTATATATGGGCATACAACAGTTTTTTGTCTGGACAGAGTTTTAGGACCTAAGGGGAGGTGGAAGTTATTGTTTAGAGACTTTGGTACTGTATATATACATATATGTTATATCACCATCACATTACATTTTTTTTTTTTATCCCATTACACCTTGCGATGTCTTGTATTAGTACAATATAAATCTGTCTATAATACATTACCACCATACTTCACATCCTATCTTACCGTCACATGTTGTTAGGTCCAGTCCGTTGTTAGGCCGGTATCCTGGCGGACAATCACAATAGTAGGATCCTTCAATGTTGACACATGTAGCAAGTCCTTCACAACGATTTTCACCATCACATTCATTAATATCTGGTTACACAAAGATTCATGTCATTAAATGAGTCCTGCTTTGGTCAGGATTATACTCACAGTGATAAAATAATTTGCAGATATTTTGTTCCATTATTATTTTGCACTGATCTCCCTCAGTACAGTTGTCAACCAATATGCAACTTGTACAGGCAGGTTTACCACCATAACTACCCTCCCCCACCCCCATTACAGGGATGTGCACAAATCCATTTGTGAGTAACATAAATGTTGAATTATCTGTAAGACTGAATTAAATATTGTACAATCAACATATGCAACTGATGAATATTTTAAAATATCAAATTAATTTTGCATTAAAATAAATGCAGGTCTTCCTCTAATTAAAGACCCCCAAATAAAAACCACCTCCAATTAAAGACCACTTTCCTGTGGTCCAAAATTCCCAAATGTTTTTAATCTTTATTATTCTAATTAGAGACCAAAGCTGCTGAAGACCAAGGAATCCCCAGTCTAAAAAGTTGTCTTTAATTTCAGGGAGACATGTATATGCTTTCATACCTTCACAACTCACAAGTTCATCATCCCAGACGGTCCCCTCACACTTGACCGTTCGGTCGGCGCCCTCGGGATACTGGTAACCACCGTAACAGAGTGCAGTAGTGGTTTTCCCATATGTAAAGGGTGGTGACGTTGCCAAATATGTGGTGAATTCATTGATATCAGGAACAGGGCAAAAAGCATCTGAAATGGTACAATGCAAGTATCATTAAAACATAAACACAAATTGAAAATTCAAATATGAATATGAATCTCATCATAAAACTGACTTTTTGAACTCACCAACGCACACAGGGGGATCTGATGTCCACATGGCATTGTCCTGACAGACCCGGAATGTTGTTCCACTTGGATTATAGCCAGGGTCACATCCATATGTAACAGCTGAGTTGATTGGCCAGACCTGACTGCTAGGGTCATTCACGCCAACAATGAATCCGTTTTCTGGAGCAGCTGGCGATGGGCATGAAGCCACTAGAAATAGAATGCATTGAAGCTATAAAAGCTATAAATGTGATAGTGCTTTAATAACAACATGACAGAAATTAAATAATAATAATAATAATAGTAACAAAGTACTTTGGTGCCTAGGCAGATTTAATACTCCTCCCACCACCCCCACTCTCTAAAATTGAAATTAAAAATGTGGAATACTGTAAAGATAAAATTACTTTAAAATCTGAGAATACAAGTTCCCATTATCTAGAGATGCCATAGACATAATAAGTGTCGAAAACATGAAGTACATACACAAACAAGATGGATACGTTGGGCCCCAAGTTGAATCTGCTTGACAGTAAATGGATGCCGAGTTTTCAATCTCATACCCTGAGTTGCATTCATAGATTGCTTCACCACCAAACTGTCTACTGGACACAGAGACCAATTGGCCATTGTTAATAGCACTTGGTTGTCCACAATACACTCCTGCCAAGAGATGTTGAAATTTACCAAGAGAACTGAAGAAAGTCAAAGGATTTGTAACTTGCAAACTTAATCACTTGAGGAATATTTAAATACAACTAAATCTTTGAAAAAATAATTACCATTAATACATCATAATAAATTATTTTATTAACTATTAACAAATAATTTTAGATTAAACAGTTAAAGGCTAGGTCACCTGTGCATGATGGGGGACCACCGTGTCCATCATAGACGTAGCTCCACAGTCCCTTGTACTCGCACACTACAGAAGTGTAGCTTTCGTCAGGATTGTAATATCCACTAGCACATGTCATACTAACTTCAGCACCCCAATGCCTCGAAGACGTACTCAGTACAGCACCATCATCTAAGACTAGCGGAGGGCAGTCTACAAAAAAGAGATAAAGTCAGTTTTTTTTTTTTCATTTTATTTGGTTTTCTACACTTAAAAATAAATATGTATATAGCACAGCAGGTGAACAAAGGAGATGTTACAAAATTTAGAAGGAGGCCTATATAGTTTGTGAACTTTAAGCATAGGACTCCTGGTTAAAAAACAGTCATAAAAGAAGAGTTAAAGACACAAATTATGTATAGAGACAAAATTATAAAAGCCTAAATAAGAAAAGAACAAAGAAAAAGCGCCCCGGGAAGATGAAGACTCAATGATCGGACATATAGTATAAAACGACGATGGTGATAATAAAAATATAAGAAATTACTGAATTTTTCTTGAGAATAAATGAATAAATGTAAAGAAAGTATAAAAATGATAATTAAAAGAAAAAATAAAGAAAGATAAAAAAGTTTAAACAGGTGAGTATTCACACAATAGACTATACAAACCTTGGATGCATTTAATTTTAAGCTGCTGAAATCATTTAGTGATAATTTAGTGATAACTTCAGTTAAAAAATGGGGCCTTACACTCAAAACCCATACAACAATCATGTTTTAACTTCAACTAACCTTTTGAAAATCTGGCATAAAATCCTGGTTTCTTTCTACTTCTACTGGACACAAACCAAAGTGACAGGTCAGGACCAGTGGTGCGAATATCTGCTGGCAGCTGCTTTCCATTGTCGCCACCATTCACTTGGGTTAGAAAACCAGCAACGATGTTACCACTATCATACACCTATATGTAGAAAACAATTGTTATATTTGTTAACTGGAAGATTTTAATATTTTAGATAAATGGGTTTGTAGTTCACATGGAGTGGTTGAGAGCAGCGGTTTCGGTTCTGCTTAGCAACCTTCAGATTGTTCAATTCCACGCTGTATGCTGTTTCGCTGATGTCCTTAGGAAGGGCACTTTACATGCGGATGTTTAACTCCAAACACTAGTACAAGTGGGTACCTGGTAGGCTCAAATAAAAAAAAATGCGCTAATTACGGCTAAGTATGTGTTCCATATGTGCTTGATCCAATGAACAGTGGTAACAATGTGAGGCCTCATTAGCATGAAGCGCTATGTAAGTCTCACACATTATTATTAGAGGGTTATACATACATTTACATAATCATCGTTAGTTCTGTCCTCAAATTCAACGGCTTCAAACCGGAGTGTGAGGGCTTCTCCTGAAGGATTAGTGATGAACCAAGAGCACTGAATGTCATCTGGATAATCATGGACTCCGTATCCAGGAGATGTTAGAATTCCATAGCCTTGGGAAATTGAAATACCCTCACAACCTATAAATTATAAATTATAATACTATGTGTATTTCTATATAGCTATATTTAATTATATTACCCTTGATATTCCTATTTAATATTTACTTCTTTAATAGTGCACAGGAGCTCTAAAACATTTTCAAGTTAATACTTGTGATTTTGCCATATATGGGCATGATATGACATCATTATTCCCATATATGGACAACTCACAGATGTTGGCTTTAAGACACTAGCAATTGACTCATGAACAACTAGTGTACATTTTTTTATAAAAATATATTATTGGTGAATGTAAACAATGTAGTAATGGGATTGACAAATGATTTAAATTTATTTAATTAAGGAAGAAATATAGATTCATAATTTGGGAACTTTCAAGGTAGTGGCAAACAAAATAAAAATTAATAAAAAAAAGAAATTCAAGGCTAACCTACTAAAAATTAAAGAAAACATTTTTGTCAACCAGGTCTCAAATGTGCTAGAATGTTCATTTATACCAAAAAAAAACAACCAATAAACGCTGAATAGAGGTAACCTCAGTTTAACACGCAGACCAGTGTGTGGTCACTCCTGTTAAAGACATGTTAGCTCCTGTGGTTGGTTTAATAATTTCCAATAGTGCCCTCAGAACTTCACACTAACTGCTAATATGGTATTGGTATATAACATTGACCCTATGGTGCAGTACTCTCTTCTTACCTAACCTGTAACTTGCCCTGAAACCATTGTTGTTGTTCACAAGGTTAGAGTAAAAGTTGACACCCATATACTTATGACTTGCAGATGTGATGATCACACGGGGCAGTTCGTTGCCAGAGAAAACATCAAAGAGGTGATTATCATCTATTTTTTCATTGTCGTATACGTTAACATAGTCCACATCAGTTTCAGTGTTAAAATCAAGAAACTAGATTACAAGGATATAAAAAGGCAGCATTATATTAACATCTATACCAAAAAACAAAAAAATCTTTCACTAGCTGAAATAAGAATGAAATTAAGATAAATAACTTACTTGAAGTGTTATTACACCTTTACAGGTGGTTATGATGTCGCATACTTCGTATCCGGATTCGCTTTTACTTCCACTTCTCCGACTCTTACCACCGCTTCCGCTGTTACATTTACTACTTTTGCTTCCCTTACTGGAATGACTAGTGATTGAACCATCTACCTCAACGGCGCAAGTCGTGATGATCCAGTTGCAGCGAGCATTATTTGGGTAATTTAAGCCCAGCAAGTAGCCTGGGCTATTCAGGTACTGAAGGGAACTAGTGGCCTGCAGGTTCCCACCACAATCATCTTCAACTACAAGAATAGTCTTAATTTTGTAAACAACTATTAATATTATCATTACTTTGTACATACATATTTCAATGATGGTAATAGAAGTGTTTATGAAGATTATCATGATGGTGATGATGATGATAATGATGTCATGATGTTTATGAAGATGATGTCACAATGGTGATTATATGATTAAGGTGACATAGTGACGATAATTGTAAAGGTATTGATAACAATGACGATAATGATGGTAAAAATAATAATGAGACTAACTTGCTTGCCAATTAATTCTGAATCCAGTGAAACTTATCTCAGTATCTGAGGTGAATCTCACAGCCGCAATGTTGTCCGTGGTCAAGGGGATAGCTTCCTCTCCATTCCCACCAGAATATTCCGCGATCAGACGATTCGCATTGACGGCCAAGTCATCATAAATAGCAAGAAAATCATAGCCTTGTTCCAAATCCAAACTAACAAACTGTAGAGTTAACAAAAATACTATTCAGGAATTATACTTTCTATTTTTATAATCCATTAGGATTGTAAATGCAAACTGGTCTTCACTGAATTTGCATGCAGTCAGCACTGTAACATGAAAGTTATTATATAAAATATGCTGTACCATTTCACTAAGAATTATAACTCGACATAACCACCACCACTATTATAATGAAACAAAGAATATGATAATAATGATAATGGCAATGATAATAATGCTAATGACAGTAATGATATTGTCAATGATAATGACAATGATAATAATGATACTGATAACTAAAATAATGATATCGACAATGATATTGACAATGATAAAGGAGCAGGCGGAATTAAAGGTAGATGTTTATACAGTATAAATAGGTCAACAGGTCAGACAAAAAATGCCAGATTCTAAAAGGCCTAAGCACTTACATTCTTTGCAGAGCTGCTCTCTCACCCCCTCCCCTCACCACTTCCCTGAACTCTTAAATAAAAAAAAATTATACACAAGATGCCTGAATATTTCTTGTCTCTGCCCAAATTCATCGATTCCTTTTAGCAAACATAATTCTAGAATATACCACTTGAGTAATACTATTTATACCTTAACTAATGCTCCATGACAGTCATACAAAAACCAAGCTTATAGCTGGCAGGCAAGTACAATGTAAAGAAAGTGTATGTTATCTGAGGCCTTTAATCAAACAAACTATTCTTTGTTAGAATTCCTACAGTATGTACATTCACTATTCATTCATCTTCTACAGTACACCTATTTAATTTCCAGGATTAAAGGCATATCTTGTTTAAAGACAGGGAGGAGGTAGTAAATTGACTCCTGGTACAGACAAACAGTTACTAGGCTGATGTAATTTGCCAGACATCAAATATTGGTATATAACTGTAGGTCAAGAAACAAACATAAAATGAACAGATGTCATATCACTAACATGTCAGAATGTTAGGGTCCTGAAGGAGATAATTGTTCAGTAGTTAGAGTAGTGAATCTGTGTCACTGATTAATACTGTATGTAGTTTATTGTATTCACCTTGCTGCTTGCCAATTACTAAGGTCACACTTTCTTGTACCTTTTCTAGCAAACCCTCCGTCCACTAACAAATGATAATTTCAAATAAAACATTTTTTTCATTTATGGTGGTAAGCCTTCAATTTTTTTTTTTAATTCATTTTTATTTCATTGCCGCTGCCTTGAAATCTCCCAAATTATGATATCTACATGTCTTCCTTAATTAAATAAATTAAAAGCATTTATCAATCCCATTACTCTGTTTACATTCAACAATAAATTTTATTTCTATTTTGTCCTCCGTCTGAGAAACCATTTGCTAAATAAGAAAACACAATTTTATTTAAATTTATTTTCCAAGCTGCTCTGACAATCTTAAAAAAAATAAGTTCGCTGAACAAAGTATAAAAAACTTCTCACCTATGAAATATAATATATGATGCATATTCTTAGTCTGTGGGATTCCTCATACAATAGGTTTTTTTTCTTTCAATTTTATATTTGAATGTGAAAGTAAACAATGATATTCCAATAATCATCAAACATTTATTAAGAACCAATTTCTAATACATGATCAAGGGTTAAGAAAGTTACCTAGAACAAATAATCATACAGAATTATGACATAAAAACAACAACAACAAAAAAATCCTGTGAAGTAAAGAATAAGTTAACATCTGAAAGTGTATAATATTAATATGGAAAAAAAAAATTATATAAACATTATTCTTACTAGGATACATATACAGTAAGTGAATTAGTTACAGGAAGATCGAAGTCTTATTGCAATTAAGTTCAGAGGTCCAATCTAGTCTTTTTTCTTTATTATTCCCCGCCTCTATATTAAATATTTACATAATGTGTGGGTGGCTGCACTTAAGTAACAGTGAATAAGAAAGACAGTCATGCCCATTACATTCATTGGTGATAAAATCCAGATGACGTACAGACAAGTTAAAAACTAATATTTGATTTAAATGTGGGAGGCTATCAAAAGTTTACTGTCAGCCGTAAAATCCGTAAAGATCCTCAAAAAGTCAATTAAACACTTATTTGCCTTTTAAATACATTGATGAGACAGATATCTAAACATATCTTACATTTTCTGCAAGCCAAAAAATACAATGGAAAAATGTATGCATTGAATAATTAGCCAGGAAGAAATTTCAATTTTACATTCTGTGGTATAATTGTCATGTATAAATCAAATGTATAAATTTATTTAAGAAATTTTTTCATATAACTTTCTTGTATGACTATACATTTTGCTTATGAATGCATGTGCATTCCAAACATTTATTGTACAGGAACTCCGTTCCTTTTGGTATGCCCACCTCCTCACTCACCAGCAATCTGTATCTGTATCTGTATATTCATTCATTCATTGGATTTTCTTTTTCTTTCAATTTTAATGTTTTTATCTTGCTTTGACATTTTTATTGTATGTCTCTGTGTATATTCTTATATATTTTTATGGAGGAAATAAATATAATAATTCCACAGAAAACCACATTGGTACCAGCAGGTACATTACAGCCCTACCTTGTGGTCAACTACAGGAAGAAACTTAAGAGTATTCAACCAGGTAGTTGATGAGTTAATGTGTCGCAATGTGTCATTGACTATCTTCCTGGAATTGATATAGCTCCTCCTTTTTGGTCTCACATATATAGAGAATGAAATTACATAGGTGGGATTAGTAAGAGATAAAAAGGATGATTAGAACAGAGGAGAATTAGAAAAGAAGAGAATTTTATAGAAAAGACAGATCAAGAAAAGAGACTAAAAATAGACTTAAAACACTTATGCATACAATTGATGGTGAATGGAATAAAGGATAACAAGAAATTGCATAAAGTCTACTGAATATAATTTGACTTCTATCCTCTCATGTGAGTTAACATACAACCCCATACAACAGTCTAACGTCAATATGTAAATTATCAGATATTTTATTTTATTCTATTTCAAACATCATCTAACAGCGAAAAGCCAATTACAGGATGCCTTAAATAAACTATATAAAAATATTTAAAATACTATACAAATAAATTACTAATTATTAATACAATTATTAAATTGAAAATTTTAAAAAGATATAGCATTCTTAAAAATACAAAACAATTCTTACTGTTATTGAGATTTTAGTACCAACAGGTGTTCGGATGAGCCAGGTGCAGTCTTGGAGCGACGGATACTCAACAGGATACCCAGGGCTTGATATGGTGCCTGATGTTCCCTCAATATAACTACCACATGTTCCTGAAAACGTTTAAAAATTACTAATACTAATAATAATAATAATTCTGGATTTATATAGCGCCTCCCGTTGACACAACCTCGAGGCGCTTGAACATTATTACCCCCGGATCACTGGATCAAGCACATATGGAACACACACTCAAGCCCCATAGGGGAATTCCATAATGATAATTAATATTAATAATTCATAACTAGCTAGCTATATTAGTTAGAAGTATAATGATAAATAGAAACAGCCTGAACATTAGAAACCAGTGTGCGAGACAAGTGTGAGCCTAGTGTGTGTGACCAGTATGTGTGACCAGTATATGTGACCAATGTGAACGCAGTGTGTAAGACCAGTGTGTGTGACCAGTATGTGTGACCAGTATATGTGACCAATGTGAGACCAGTGTGTGAGACCAATATGTGTGACCAGTGTGGGAGACCAGTGTATATGACCAGTATGTGATCAGTGTGGGAGACCAGTGTATATGCCCAGAATGTGTGATCAGTGTGTGTGACCTATGTGTGAGACCAATGTCAGACCAGTGCGTGACCAGTATATGGGACCAATGTGAGACCAGTGTGTGAGACCAATGTGTGAGACCAGAGTGGGAGACCAGTGTATATTCCAGTGTGATCAGTGTGTGTGTGACCAGTGTGGGAGACCAGTGTATATGACCAGTATGTGATCAGTGTGAGACCAGTGTATATGCCCAGTACGTGTGATCAGTGTGTGTGACCTATGGGTGAGACCAATGTCAGACCAGTGTGTGTGACCAGTGTTTGAAACCAGTGTGTGAGATCAGTGTGTGTGACCAATGTGAGGGACCGGTGTATATGACCAGTATGGGAGACAAGTGTATATGACCAGTATGTGTGATCAGTGTGTGTGACCAGTATGCAAGACCAGTATGGAAGGCCAGTGGAGACCAAGTGTGCGTATGTATGACCAAAGTTTGTGACGAGTATGTGAGGCCTGTGTGTGGGACCATTTATGTGAGACCAGTGTTTGTGACCTGTGTGTTTGTGTGGAAATCATCACTTCCCTCCCCTTAGTAAAAATTTGTAAATTAACAAAACTAAATAGCTTCAACCTGTGGCTTACTAATACTATACACACATCTTTTTGTACTGGTACATGTAAAGATATTTGGAAATCTAATTGATAAAATTAAGCAATATAAATCTTTGGATGTCTTACCACTGCAGGAAAGCTCATCAGCATTGTCAGTGCAGTCAGATGTACCATCACAAACCCAAGATAGTGGGATACACCGTCCACTGGTTGGACAACGAAACTGACCTGAAGGTTGAACAGGTACAGTAGAATGACAGCATTTCAAAATTTAATATATATTTCATGATATTGTAAATTAATGTAAATATTCACTTATTCATCATCTTGATTATTAAATAATTAAATCAATTAAAATATATTTAATTAATTTAACACTAACAAAATAAAGAAAATGTTTAAATATTAGATTAAATGCAAAAAACTGTCTTAAGCTGTGTCCAGACCTATAAATTTTATTTGACAAAAAACTTGTGACATGCATGAATATGGTCATGATGACATCACATCATGACCATATATAGGCACATCATGACTATATATGGGCATACAACAGATTTTTGTTAGGAAATTTGATATCCTGGACAGAACTTCAAATGCTCCAGATGAGACAAAGCATTCAATATCGTATACAAAAAAAATGAATTCGTAATTCTTTCTTGCTGTAAATTTATATTGATAAAAATCACTGGGTTAACCAATAAGAGAGTAAAGCGACTACAGAAGATAAAAACAAAAGATTATTGAAATAATGACTTACCACAATGACACTTTTTTTCTATATCTATATATATACACATTAATTCAAATACAATGCACCCTCCAAATTCAGACCCTTCAACACAAAACTAAGCCTCTAATTGGAGATCAAACCCCAATGCCACCCCCAAAATGTTCAGGTCTTGAATTGGAAGGCGTACTGTATACTTTCATCTCTTTTTAAGATTTTAGCTACAGCAAACATCAGCTACCCCTAATGTAATTGCAGCAGATATGGTAATGGTCAGTACAGGGCCCCTTGAGCTAAGAAAGTACTAGTATGGAAACGAACAGCCTTTGCCATCTAGGGCTCAGGCATTGAAAAACTTTTGTCTTTCCTACATATTATTCAAAATCCTTAAAGTATGCCTCACCAACTTCGCAAGCATCCAGCTGGCAAACAAAGGGATTCAGGTTGTTGCAATCGGCATAGTCCCATTCGTAACTGTCCGTATCTTCAAGGACCATCTCAGCACACCCTTCCAATCTGTCCACTGGTTGCTGGTCAGCCCACTGACCATTATATGTTGTTGAGTCAATCCCATTTGACCACATATAGTTACCATTGCTTCCCCAGAAACCTGAAATTGGTGAGAATTGTTTATGTCTTTTTTATATAAATTGCCTCCAGCACTAAGCACTGTACCTAAAAAAACAATAAGAATATTAAGAAGAATGCGTGCCACTCACCAACCCAAATTGTGGAATCATCATAAATTCCTGTGGTGTTGCTTGCAATTTTTGCTGCAATCAGGTTGTCAGAATAATCATTTATGATCACCAGATGAGCTCCAAATCTTTAATGTTAAAAAAAAAATAAAAAATATTATGTTCACAAATATATTGTGCAGTCCCTAGTATGTAGTAGAAATATCCCATTAAATCCTTTAACATGTCATGTGTAAAATTTTCCCTCATGTGAATCAAATATAAGCTGATCATAACTACTTGAGGAATATCCTGGTCTCGGCTGTTCTAATGTCACTATTAGATGGGCTATCTTCATCAGAATTCAAAACAAGAAATCAAGTTGTCTTTATCCAGTACCAATCGTTTATATTAATTGAGTAAGAAATTTACCTTATATTTTTTAACAAGTAGTAGAATTTATAGCTACATAATTGGACAATGTGTTTTGAATTAATTATGATCTTTGTGCACGTAAACCAGGGTTTAATTGCTTGAATATAAGTTGTAAAAGAAAAGTTTGATGGAAGGCTCCATTTGTGTAGAGGTGACATAGAAAGAATTCTTGTGAGAATTATTTACGATGTAGAAATATTTATGAAGTTTCGAATGTTTTTACTTTACGTGGAGAATGGTATAAAAACGTTCCTTGAAAGGGAGATGACGATGTTGGCTGGTAGAATATTTAATTAATAGAAAGTTGGCTTACTCTTGACAAGTATCTTCAGCATCTTGCCATGACAATCTTTGTGGAAAAGCCTGGAAACATTTCCCAACCTCTAGGATCCAGCCTGCAAAAAAAGTATCAAAAGCATGCCACTCAAGTGTTGTGGAAGCAGACCCATAATTACAGTAGTTAATAATAGACAAAGATGAGAATGGTTATAGGAGCAATAAGTATATCAAAAGAGATTTTCAATTAGGACTACAATATTCTTTTCTAGCAAAATAATTAATCATACATTACCATTAGAACATTCAAATTCAACGATATCATTTGTTATTGTGTTTCCCAATTGCACTTGCTGGAAAAAGATGAAAAGAATTCATTAATGAAGAATTTTGTCATCCTCATCACCATCAGCTGAACCACTCCTACACATGTGATTGGGTTTGGTGTTTTTTTTTTTGCTTTATTCTTATAAGGCATGACTTCTTTTATTCCTTGTTTCGCATACTATTTTTCATTTCATAAGATCATCGGAGGAGGGTAAATAAAATTTGTTTTCTTATTTAGCAAATAGTTTTGCAAAAAAATTCTTACAGGGGGAGAAAATAACAATAAAATTTTATTTGTGAATGTAAAATAGGATGGTTAAATGCTTCAAATTTATATAATTAGGAAGAAATATACATATCTTACCTTTGGAGATTTCAAGGCAGTGGAGGGTGCAATAAAAATAAAGAAAAACTTTTTATTTTTTTCTGAAATTTTCTCTTTTTCGTGGCAGTGGGTGCGCTAATTGGCCAAAAATTAAATTTTATTTTTATTGGAAATCATCAATATTTGAAGTCGGTGGGTTCGCTAAAGGTATAAAAAAATCTCGCCTAACTAGAGCATTTATATGGTGCTTTACAAACAAAGAACGCAGCATTTACAATTCCAGAAATTACAAGGAAAATCATAAAACAACAACACTAGGACCTAGACACAAGACATAAGAGAAGACAAAGCTTCTTGCAGTGGCGGATTTAGAAGAGGGGGGGCGTAAGGGGCGTACGCCCTCTCTGTTTTTTTGTAAAAAAATTGTTTTGTAAAGCATATCAGAAAATTTCCATGCAAAATATTAAAAATCAATCAAATATCAACTCTGAAGATGAAGATGCTAGAGGTTTAAAGGAGAATCTTCCCTTGCACCCCTACCAAGGGCTCTTTCCTGAGACTCTCATTTAGTTCGGACATTCACGCCCCCCCTCTTTCTTACTGGGCTGGATCCGCGCCTGTTCTTGTTTGCACTCCTAGATATCAACAGTCATCACCTCTAGTTTAGGAATATCAAACTCGGTGTTAATGGTTCCATCATAACTGCCTCCAAAAGTGCATGCAGTCTGGGGGGATATTCTTAATTCCAGTTTGGAATTAAGTTCCCAGATTAGCAAAGGTCTGCAGCAGTGTAAGGTATCACATGCGTAATCTATGGAGGATACGCAGATTTATTGATCAAGAAACGTCATGCAGTGGTCAGAGCTCTAGTCTTATGACAAATAGACTAACTGTAACTCTCTCTATAGTGGTCTATTCAAAAAAGATCATGATAGACTACAAAACTCTGCTGCTCCCTTGGTCTTTTTATGTGAACCTTTCACATACTCTGCTCCACCTCTCATCAGTGAAATCCATTGACTGCCGGTTAATTGCAGAATTATGTTTAAGGTAATTCTATTTGTCCACAAATGTACCTGTGGTCTTTCTCCTTCCTATTTAGGAAATTTTCTTGACTAGCATATATCGATGTAAACATTCCACTCGATTCGCTCCATCTGTACATTTTACTGTTCCACGTCATTCTAAGAGAATCAGAAGTTTCCCTTTCCCTTGTCATGCTGCCAGACTCCGGAATAATCTCCCATCAAAACTTAGGAACATTTCTGAACCCAATATTTTCAAACATGCACTCAAGATTCACTTGTTTGCATAGAACTTCCAATTACTGTATTGTTTTCTGATTGTTGTGTCTGTATAATTCCTCCGTGGTCTGTAATGTGTTGTGCTTTTGTTAATTGTTTTGAAAATACAGTTGTGGCACTCGTGATTTCATTATTGTATTGCTGTACTGCATTAGGCCTATGGCCTACATACATGCTGCTTTGAATTTTTACCTGAACTCTTTCCTATAATGAGATTTGGTGTGCGCTTTATAATCGCAAGGAAAAGGCGCAATATAAATGCCTCAGTACACAACAAACTTAATTTCACTTGTTTTTTTTTCAAGTTTATTTGTTTCCATCATGTACACAGACCATTAATTGTTGGAACTGGGCATTAATAATTAAATCAGCGTGGTTGATTTAAAGTTCAAAACAACCGCTTCCGTGAATTCACGCTCGTCAATTTTTAGGCCAGTTGGTTGGGTGACATCTCTGGCCGACAGTCCAGACTCTCTCACACACAGTCAGACTCGCCTGCCAGGCCTAGCCTATGCCATGGCTGCCTAAGTAAAATGTGAATAAATAGACCACTTTCTTTGGGTCACTCAAATGTATTACATCAAACACATCTAACTTACAAACAGGATAATCAATTAAATCCAGGCATAGGGTCCTAGGCCTAGGCCCGGAAAGAATTTACTTCGACCTGAGTCCACTAAACTGTATCGCCACTACGCAACCGCAACAATTTTATCGACACGGTAACCGTGCAACATGCACTCCATATGCATTGTTAAATTGTCTATTTCGACGGTAAATTAATTTGCAGAAAATCTGTGTCATACCTACGGGGAGCACCCC